AGTTTGTAATGAGCTTGTTAGGTATATGGAGGTGATTTTTACATTTTTATCATAATGCTGCTTTGATTACTAAAGAACCAGTTATAGTTTTCATAGCATAGAATTCCAGTGCATTTGTTTTTGTCATTTCTACATCAGTGTATTCACTTAAAAATTATTCTTTACATTACAGCAATGTCAAGCTCCATTAAATGACGTGATCTACAATGGAGCACCTTCAGTCTAAGCTAAGAGAGCTCAAAGAGACATCCTGGTGATCACTTCCTTCTGGGTTTTAGTCAGCTTTGAAACCCCGTAGATTGCATGGGTAAAGAGTGGAATGCAACAATTCTGACAAATCGTTGATCATCAAACATGGCAAGAAAAGGATCAAAATGAAGATAAGACAACAAAAATAGCCTTTCTGTGCAATCCAAACATCCTCTGGACCGTTTCTCTTTTGTGTGTGTGTACTTTTGGATAGCAAAGGGCATGCGTTTTTGCTCATTTCTGGAGATAGTTAAAGAAACTTGGTGAACTTGCAAGCAAGTAATTATACGCATTGACAAACTGATCTGTAAATATTGGAAAATATACCGTGAACACGCATAAATCAACCACAAAAGATCCTGAGTGATATGTTCTAGTAATTAATTTCATCTTCAAAATTTAGTGTTTGTATATGTTGCTTAGGCTAAAACGTGTAATTTTTGTACCTTTTTCTACCTCATGTGTGGCATGTTTAATCATAATGCAGTAAACTGTTGTAAAACTAGTATTATTATTAGTAGTAGTAGTAGATTAATGTTTTTTGTGATGTGTTGACAGGATAAGTAACATTTTTCACTACCCCATCCACATAGCTTAGAAAGTTGCATCAGGATCTTTTTTTTAAATCCTTGAATTTATTGTAATTATAAAAGAATTATCATTATAGTTTTAGATATTAACTAGTTTTTCTGTCAACATTATTACATTTATAAGTAAAATGTGCCAATAACAAGTTTTTGAAAATGTTAATGTTCACAAGCGATTCTGGTTTTATTTCTTTTTAAGAGGGTCCAATAGTTAGTGTTAGCATCTTTTATGATTCCTGTATTATTCTAAGAATTCAGCACCAAACCTCAGTTATCTTTCTATCAACACTCATATAACTGAGTGAGGGATGAAAACGTTTGTATAGTGCTAAGATCACCTGTTTCTCCAATTAAGGTGACTGTATAAAAAATGATTGGGATACAAAGACGATTGTCTTTTAATGCAACTAAAAGATTGTTTTTCAAGATATTTGTAAGAGTTTTTAAAATACAACTATTAAAAACAACTTTCAGAAATTTCCATTTTCTTTAACAGTTCACTGAAAAAATGTTTCCCACTTTGTCTATGAAAAATAAAACTCATCAAACATCTTTTTATCTGAACACCTAAGATTTCTTAACTTTAACAGTTCACTGAAAAAATGTTTCCCACTTCATCTATGAAAAATAAAACTCATCAAACATCTTTTTATCTGAACACCTAAAATTTCTTAACTTTAACAGTTCACTGAAAAAATGTTTCCCACTTCGTCTATGAAAAATAAAACTCATCAAACATCTTTTTATCTGAACACCTAAGATTTCTTAAAGAATGTATATCTTACTGCATTCATGCTAACTATATCTGAAATAAGTTTAAAGTCATCTTTATATTCAACCTTTGTTGAATAATTATTTTATATGTTTCCTTGGAGATATTGGAGATTTTATGCAGTGTATTTATCAATGACATCAGGGAGATAATTATTTGACATTTACAACCAACTTTGAATAAATTACATAATGTCCCAAACTCTGAAGCTACTTCTAACAATGTAAATCAGGGTTCTCCATAGTGACGTACTGGTTGGGAGTGTGTGTCTCAGCTTTGATTTCATTGCTAACTATGATATGTACACACACAGTGTAGCTGCTACATTCTTACTGAATTATAAGAAAGGACTGAGTGGTGTGATTCAATTTTCTGAGGTAAATACTTGATGCTGTAAATTTTGCAACAGATACAATCAGGGTTCTTCCCAGCCATTTTTAGTATATCTGTACTGATGTACTTAATACTGTAGCACGTGTCGAACGTTAGTGAATGTTGTTTACACCACTTACACATGATACAAGAGAAGTGTGAACATTGGTTCGTGGTATTGGTATCATTGTATTTTCAGGCCTGAACCTGATGTTAATGACATCATCATACACTTGAACTATTATTATTTATCATAGGTTAAGATATTATTCAGCAATAGATGTACACTTGCGAGATTGATCTAGTCTAGTTGATAGATATAGCAAAAATTGTTTAAGTTTAGATCTGTTTTTGAGCCAAACCTCTCATCCATTCACATCATATAATGGCTAAATAATTATTTATAATACTACATTTCCTGGCATAAAGGGTACTTCATTTTTACTATTTTGGTTTTTTTTCATGTTACAACTGGCACTGAAACTTTGAAGAAAGCTTAAATTTTTGGGTCATGACCTTTAACAGTGAACTTTTTGTACTAAAACACAGCTTTTCACACTAAAAGATTAATTTAAAAACCTACTTTGAATTCAAGAGTGGCAGTTACTCTACAACAGCATCACTAACAAGACACTTGATAAACTGACCACACAGACAGTTATTACATTAGTAATTCAGTAAACCTTGAAATAACTAACTGAACTATTACCATTTCATACTTTGTCAAATATAAAAGTTACATATTTTTAATAAATAAATAAATATAAGTTATGAATAATTTATATTTTATGACAACAAATGTTAAGTTTGTAATAATTAATTGCTACAAGTACATATACACAAAATGGATAAATGAATAAATTATCAAATTAAGCTGTAAAATTTTAATTAAATCACTCATTAATGAAAATGTCAGCAGAAATCTTCTAATCTTGTTTTTCAAGTTCTTTGTACAAGTCAAGGATTTCCTGAACATCCTCTTTTGATCCCATGAAGATGGGCACACGTTGATGTATTTTTTCTGGGACAACTTCCAAGATCGGGATCTTTCCTGTAGAAGCCAGCCCTCCAGCTTTCTCTATGATGTAAGCCATAGGGTTGCATTCATACAATAGGCGTAACTGGAACGACCAATTTAAATGTCAGCTCGAGCAGTGCCAGAGAAAACAATAACGACACTAGACAAGATAATGGGCATGTGTGTGTAGAGGTGAGGACCCAACAGACAGAACAAGTACTGATAATGACAATTAGTGCTTGAACCATGTTAGAGGAAGTTTTAGGCAGTGTATTGAACCTAAAGAGTAACTGGAACGACCAATTTAAATGTCAGATCGAGCAGTGCCAGACAAGATAATGGGTGTGTGTGTGTGTGGTAGGGGTGAGGACCCAACAGACACGTGCTGTACCGTACAGTCCCGCCTTGGCCGTACAGCAGAGAACAAACAAAAATACGTCCTTTCTGTGACAACTACCAAACACTCCTCGTCGG